ATGGAATGATAAGTCTGTGTGAATATGTCCCATTGAAACCAATGGGATCCCATTTGGTCCTTTTGTATCCAGTTGAGTCCTATTGGGTCCCATTGAAAAATCCAATGGGATTCAATGGGAATCAACTGAAATTTTCTCCTGGGACACCACGTCACGTTTTCAGAAATCATGCCGGGAAAATATTGAAGCAACTTCATTGCAAAATACTAAGAATATCCCGACCAGTCTCATAACCTTTGCGCACAGCATGTCTTGTAATGTTCCGAGTATGGAAATCTGTGGTCCAGTTTCCTTTCCTACATGATTGAACTTTTACCACCGTAGAAAAAGCCCAACCATGGGGGAGTTTATAATGCAATATGGATAGCTCTCTGATATGAGCAGGAGGTCTTGGAAACTGGTTTTAACTCACATGAAGAATGCTTTAGAGAAGACTCCTGCCCTTGACAGTGGATGTGTCTGTCTTTTGCTTTGGCATGGTGCCTCACAAGGTTTGATAATGACCCCGGACTCTTGAATACCATTGCTGTCGCCCGCTGATGAACTCCAGCTGTCATGAGCCGCCATGAGAAGTTGGCCGGATTTGTGTCTGTTGTGCTCCGATGAACCATATGGACGAACCATGGAAGAACAATATTACATGTACACGTACATGTACTTGTATTTGGTTGGGCTACAAACCGGAGCCTAATAGCCGTAGTACGTCCTTGACCTACTAGTCATGTTGATGTGCGCATGCCGTGCACACGTGAGCACGCACTCTTTTCAATCGACTGGACGTTTATTGTGGTGGTCATGCTTTGTTGATCATGCCGGTCACTTCAAAATGGAGTCGCAAGTACGCTTGTTGATTTGGCTGGGGGACCCGGTAACCAACAATTACTGCGGTGTAAAAAAGCTCGATAAATCCACTTGACTATGCTGTAGCCTTAATGAAAATGATTGAACAGACCATCTCCATGAACAGACCTAACTGCTGTGATCAGTAAAAATAAAACTTTTTCTGTTGGAAACCTGTGCCATGCGACTTCGACCTAAAACTTAATTGTGTGATGTTAGCTCGTGCTCTTTAATTACTACTTCGCAAGGGGGGCTTGCTGGACTGTTTCAAACTTTACTGCCGTGGGAGAGCACACAAGACCATTATTCGCAAATATTTTTTTTTCTATAGCACAAACTCGCTTCTCATCCCGCCTCCCCCATGTATGCTTTACACATTCGGCCTTGCGGGTCCACCAACCCCTTCTACCAGCTACCAAACAGAATTACCTCTCTTTTCAGCCATACGGCAAAGCTTTATTTTACTAGCCATGCAGCATGCACGAGCTTCGTCCTGTCTGTCAGTTCATCCTTGCAACAGTATACATAAAACTTGATTTTCATTTTTTGTTGTGCCAATCTCAAAATTGGTGTTTTTCCCTTGAACAGAAATGTTCTCAGGGCTGCTAGTAAACCCAAAGACTTCGATAACGATACCATGCATGATATGGGCTAGAATTCGAGTTTAACAAAGGCCGAAATACTGCCGGAACTACCTCTGCCTTTATTCTTCAAGTTTTGTACGTTGAAGAGCTTTAATTTGAGAATAAATCTTTGAGTGACACTAACCAGTTATCACTCCAATCTGCAATGGAGACGTTAACGTGAATCGTTGGGCTCCAATGTACAATTGGAACTAAAGACTGGCAGGTTTGCATTATGCTCGTTCGCAAATCTGTTCCCGTATCGTGGCCCCCACAACCTGTCCAAGAAAGAAAAGAACAACTGGGGAACACCTCAATCGTCCAAGTTAATCCTGCTGTCTATTAAGTAAATTTGCTTCTATAGGTTATCGCCATGAGGGATCCATTCGACTTTCAAATCTATTTATTTTGTGGCAGAAGTAGAACATATCTATAGTCAGATCTTGAAGTTCTGGAACCATGCTGCCTTCGGTGATAATGGTACCACTCCTTTATTGTCAGTGCGTAAGTGCACAGTTTTGCCTCTGAGAGCTGGAGTAAACACTTTTAGTGAAAGGGGTGCCCCTTTTAACTCACGCCATGTGAAACTTTTGCTTCTCTCAACAGCCGACCAGTATTGCTGAGATTCCATTTTAATTCTTCGACAAAACAGTCCATGCACCGCACCCGGACTCGCTTAAATCCGTTTAAACCAGAACCATGCATTATGGGGAGGGAATAATCAAACAGTACTTAGTATTAGTACTTAGTATTTAGTTTAGGCAGGTCTGATTTCTAGAACATGAGTTCTCCGATAGCTTTACTACTGGGATGTATAGAGAAATTGAAGTCCCAGTGTCCTGTGTGCAATATATAACGCGACTTCAGCTGACAGATATTACCCACGACGCAAAAAAAAGGTATTTTCCCAGCTACACACAGACACCAACTTTCAGGCGGTCATTTTAAGTAGTTTTGTCAAATAATTGTAAAAAAAAATATTATATCGTTTCTACTTAATCTCTTTCTTCTGTTGTTTGAGTGGAACCTTCTTTCCCTTCCCATGTTATTCTTAGTTCAATTGAGTTGTTATGTGGGTGGCTATTTTGATTTTTCCATGTTGGGAACGAGCCATATACGCGGCTAGTCTTTACCTCTTAAGCAATTACGTCACAATCTTGTTCCTCCCTTCCCTATCCATCATATACTTATTTACTTAATCTTCTTTCCCCCGATACTTTCTGCCTCCATTTGATCCTGCCCCCGCGCGCGCGACGTAGCTGCATGTACATGTTGCACCTAGCCCCATGTAAGGCCAAGCTCTTTCAGTTCTGGTACTATCGACCTCCTCCATGTTGTTGTGGGTCTTCCCGCTTCCTCTTCCCCGTGGTGTCCATCTCAGCGCCACCTTAGGGATGCGCTCCCTGGTCCATTCGGAGAACATGCCCCAGCCATCTCAAGCGTCGGTGCTTGATCTCAGCACTCACACCGTTGCACTTGGTCTTTTTGTAGAGTTCTACGCTCCAGATTTTCTCCGGCCAGAATATACCACATATTCTTCTACGGAAGTTATTTTGGAAGACATATAATTTCTTCATGTCTCCCTGTATAACTCTCCAGCATTCTGAGCCACGAAGCAAGACTGGTCCACCGTACAGGTAAACTACAATGCACATACCTTCAATGGGCCACTAGTGGTCTGATAATCTTAGTAAATATGTATGGAGCGGCAAACCATCAATGGAGCACGTTGAATGCAATATATAATCATGTCACCCTGAACATGCAATGCAAACCCAAGGTACTGAATGTGTTCGCTGAAAAGTTTGACGTGGTGGTACCTTCATTTTAAATCAGCAGAGAATATAAAAAACAGCCTTTTTGATATATCATAGTGCTCCATTCTAGTCCTCAAACTTAATCTATTCTTTCCTTACAAACTGGTTGACTACCTCAGATCTAGAATAATTCTTTTTTTGCCAGACCGTTGCACTGAAACCGTAGAAATTAAAAGACACGGCCCAACCGTGTATTTCTTGAACATAGGCCTATGTGTGGTCCGGCAGCAAACCGGAGCCTTAAAACCCAGTAGCATTGGTACGTCCCTGGCCCAATGCGCACGACCTGAGGCATGCATTTCTTCAATCGACTGGGATGTTCATTGTGATAGTCATGCTTTGCTGATCATGTGGGTCACTTCAAAATCGAGTGATATGACACTTGTTGATGTTGCTGCCCTATATACAACGATGAAACGGTGGCGTGAACAGAAGTCCTGGAACTGATTGTGTGGAGCGAACCGTCCTTACGAGCGGGTAACTGATGAGGGCACTGATAAGAGGGCTACTTTGAAAAAAAAAACCCAAAACCGGGATGGGGTGCGGACTATAGTTTCCTCTAGAACTGTCGCCGTGCACCTGATGCAGGCAAATGCGTGCTCCAACTAGTGCTTACTCCAAAAGCCTTTACTTTTGGCAATAACTGCCCCGTTTGGGCTTGGAAAATGTGCAGAGAAGATTGTTTAGACGGTTGCCGACTGGCGAGTGGGGGTGTCTTGACTTGCCTTATTTCTTATAAACGACAGTACTCTTTGTGTTATCATCAAGGTTGTCTTTGTGCAGTGTTCAGTGTGAGCAGAGATCTACGTGCGCCGTCGGAGTACATGTAGTTCCTCGTGGATACCCTTTGACCTTGTGCATGCGGCAAAAAAGTGTAGCTAGTCGCCGCTGCAGTCGCATGTGTGCACTGTCAGCACGACCCGTAGATAGATTGTTTTGCCAATATGTCAGTAATTATCTCCAGATGGGGATCATTCATGTAGGCCTATTTATGTACATGGTGTATTGTTTTGTTGTGTCATTGTAACCTTTGTATTGCTTTGGCAAATCATTTGCAAAGTTTCCTATCAATTGCGAGAACAAACCTGTACATTCTGTGGTTGAGAGATTGAAGAATTTTTGTGCACATGTATACTGAATGGACGTCGTGCCTGTGGGTAAGCCGAAAAGGTTGCAATTATTTGTCCTTCTGTTATAATATAAATATATAAATTACCATTGCGTGTAATAATGATTGAAACACTATATACACATGCATTTCTCTGCTGTGCAGGGGTTTTGTTTTAACTGTTTGTCTTGCTTGGAGTGGATTGCATTCTCCAAGAAGTCAAGGGGTCAATAAAAGTAGAATTTGGAAGAAAATGCCAGCTTTCTGATTCTACTGGTTCCAAGGACTGTCTTCCACCACCTGCTCTCTGATCACACACAGGACACCCTGGGGCACCTCACAGTGCGCCACCACTGAACCACAACTTTGTCAGTGAAAATTTAAACGTATGCAGGCATGAAATCTTTGTATCTGTAAAAGATAAACTTTATTAAATGCACTTTAAAGGCGATTTTATTTTACAATTTGTTCTATCATTATTCAAAAGCAGTACTGTTACAGCAAACTAACGTTGTTGTTCTGTTGTTGGTCTGCCCAGTGTTGCAAAATAAGTAACATTTTTTTCTTGATACGTCAACCCTTTGGAAAAAAGTACTTATTACATAATAAAAATCTACCTGTAAGAAGGTTGTAAACGCTTGATACCATGCAAAATTGAAACAAAACCTTCAGTTAGGAACGGGGAGCTCCCACAACAGTTTGCGAAGCATAGCAAAAAATCCACCCACAAAATTGCAGACATGAAAAGAGAGCTGGCTTTTTCAAGAACGCAAGTACGACTCTGTCATACCAAGCCCGATTCTGTCATACCAAGTACAACTTTGTCATACCAAACTACATATTTTACAGTAATCCACGGTCAGTGAACGAATAAAATTCCACACCAGCATGATGAGTGGCATTGACTTTATCGCATATCACTTCGGAAAATTTTAAATTATTTGTTGTCGCTTCAGGCCGATTGATTCTTTTTCATGTTACAAACAGACAGGTTATCAGCGTCTTCCGGGTCGTGGGCAGTTTTCTCCGCGTGTTTGTCAGCAGCGATGTGGAAGAGTTTAGCCTCCTCAGCCTTGCCTGTCTCTTGGACCATCCTGGTGAAGGTACTGCCCTCCTTTTGGAGCAGAATGTAAGGCTCGTCAAACTCAATCAGACGCCCCGCATCAAGTACCTGGAAAAGGTCAAGACTGAGCTATGAGCGACGTGAATGAGCCGAGTTGATATTTCAAAAAGGGCAATGTCATTCGGGAAAAAAAACACATGTGCAAGGCGTTGGTAGACCTCACGTGTTCGCATGACGGTTCCCTCCCTTGGGGGAGTTGGAGAGGCTTTATTTTGCGAATGCGTTGTTGGAATAAACACCTCAAGTAGTCAGAGAGTTGGGGTGAGATGAATTACGGTCTATTGTGCTTTACTATTGCACTTTCATACTCAACATGCAGTGTATGGACTCAAAATGTGACTAAAGGAGATTGTTTAAAGGAGATCCATTTGGGGTTTAAAACGGTGCACCTTCCATTGAAAGCCTCTTACCATGACCTTATCGGAGTCCATGATGGTGTTGAGGCGGTGAGCTATGGTTAGGACCGTGCAGTGCTTGAATCTCTGTCGGATAGTCGCCTGGATCAACCGGTCAGTTCTATATATGCAATAAAAGCAGCTGCGATTACTTGTATATTGAGAATGATGAGTTTTTTGTACGGTAGACAGACCTGATACGGGTCGACCATCACGACTGAAGAAGTCTTACAAAAAGAGAAAAAAAATGACTACATCCTAGCCAAAGTAACGAACCAGTTCCCCGTTTTCAAAGGGCAAGGTCATTCGAGAAAAAGCACTCGACATCACACCAGTTTGATCATGTCAGCGTGTGTCTGCCGTGTGGATAGGGTCGACCTCGGACACACGTAATGATGCTGTATGACAGGCTTCACCTTCAGCTGTTAGTTGGGGTATACATGATCTTTGTCGAAGTATGGAAGCGAAACAAACACTCTAACCTGACGTCCACGTTGGCCGTGGCCTCGTCCACTATCAGGATCTTGTTCTTACGTAGGATGGCCCTGGCCAAGCACAGCAGTTGTCTCTGACCCACACTGAAGTTGGTGCCTCCCTCTGTCAGGACTGCCTCCAGTTTGTCAGGAAGTTCTTCCACTGCTGGCTTCAACTCCACCTGTCGAAAAGGTTTGTTTTTGTTTTGGGTTTTTGGAATGCCAGGAAACAGCCTTCATGATTAGTGCGAGATTGGAATTTATACACTGGACTTGTGCGCAAGTGGACGAAGGATATTTCGATTAGGGACTGTTCCACAATGAGACACCTCATTTTCTTGATCCACATTTCTCAGGTTTATTTCCAATATCCAATCGTCCATCAAAATGATTCAAAGGCGCTGAACTTGATTTTGATAACTATGCCAATCAGTCTATGCTTTATAACTCGAAGTGGGCATACTCACATCGCCTGTTTAAAGTCTTGTAAAAAATGGCCTGACTAAAAATATGTCCAATCTTGCCTTAAAGGATATGTTCAAATACAAGTAGTGCACACTGTTTGATCATACTGTGATTGACACGTGTGACGAAAATGGTATGAGCTAGTTTCACCCAATGCTTTCTACTCAACACACCTCTTCAATGGCTCTCCATATATCACAATCAGCGTGCTCATCGAACGGATCCAGGTTCTTCCGCATTGTTCCGCTGAACAGAATTGGATCCTATTAAAATTACAAATCAAAATAATATAATACAGCAATATATTTTGACGACTGAGTAAACACAATTACTTGACAATATGTCAACCAATCGTAAATACCCCAGACAGCTAAGCCACTCCTGTTGGTCGAGAGCCTGGCACGTGGCCAGTTTTACAAAAAGACGAAAAAGCACCGACTCGCGTGGCGGCAAAAACCATAACATGCCTGGAGGGTTGGTGAGCACATTTTTCAGAAAAAAAGTGCTTAATTTTGTTTCAACTCCTGATTCAAAAGGAATTCATGAATAAAAATAAAGAAATGGGATGAACAGGTGAATCGACACAATCAATTATGGAGCCAAAGGCAATAGTTGCGTCTACTCTGCTGAGCCGGTTTTGAACGGTTCTGACCAGCCTAGCACATACTGCGTCCCTTACTAAAGGCCTACAATCTGTTTCACAAAGTAGATAAAAAGATATACAGGCTAGTTGACTTCATTTTGCTAAAGATGCCTTCCGTAACTGGCATGATTAAAATGCATTACAATAGCGTGAAAATAAAGCTCAGTAAAGACAATACGACCTCTACAATCTCACCAGTGTCCGACCAAGTACTTGACAAAGGACTCTATAACGCAGAGGGTCTTGTGCTCTCGAAGGAGATCGAGGCTTTTTGAGCCCAGTTGAACTTGTGCTAATAAACTGGACCTTTTACCTGTGGGATGAAGGAGACCTTTTTGCGGAGGTCGTGCAGCCCGATCAGCGTCGTGTTGACACCGTCTATCATGATGGTGCCCGTGGGTTCGGCAAGTCGCATCAATACCGTCATCAGGGAGCTCTTGCCAGCCCCAGTCCTGCCCACGATGCCCACCTGAAAGCCGGAACGATCGGTACTAGTCATTTTAATACCACCTGTAATTTGCTTACCGTGCAAGCTTGATGAGTTTGACCTCAATTTAGCTCGATGTACATAAAATTATCAACCAAGATTTCTTGCACAAGTAGGTATCGGAACTGCTGTTGTTTTCAGCCATTATGACAGCCGTCGGAGTTATAAAGTAAAATGACAGGCACAATGTCTTAAAGGTTCAATTTATGAATTTCTGAGATCTTCTAATAATTTGCACTTCCGAAACCCATACGTTTTAACATAACATGTTTTGCTCCCCACACAGACTTGATATGTAAAACTTATCAGAATCGGCTTTTTTCCTCTGAACTAAATTCCGATTTCAGGTTACAGGTTTATATTTTCCTTTGACACCGAAAGGGTTGTTCTTCCAAAGGTGGCAATCCTGATATCAGACTTTGGTCTATGTAGCCATACCTTTTCTTTTGGCTTGATGGAGCAGCTGATGTTTTGCAGCACCTGAGGCCCGTCTTCAGTGTATCTGAGGGAGGTATCTTGGAGCGTGATACCTCCATCTTGTGGCCAGTCAGGAGGCGGCTTATGGTCGGTCTCCAAGGGAGCCTCAGGCTCGATATCGATGTATTGACACACACGCTCCACAGATGTCATCTGAGTGTACAGAAGTGGACGGTGGCATTGCCATTC